TCAATTTATCTTTACCAGTGTCCCTTCTTGTAATTTTCTTTGTTCCAGCTAAATCTCCTTCCCCTCCCCTTGCTTCAGTGTTTGTAATAAGGTGGCATGATGCTTGGTTTTTTAGAATCCCTTTATCAGTTGTTGTAGAAATCAATCCCAAATTAGCATGCTTCCCGGTAGATTTAGGGCGAGTGGCATCTGAATGCCCCAGATGAAAGCATTTTCCACAATAAAGTGGATTATTCTCATAAACAACTGTTTGTGAGAATCCCTGAGAACCACATTGAATCCAAATCTTTCTAGGCATCTCTTTAGAAAGATCAACCTCAACAAAGATTCTAGCTATTTATGGCTTAGACAGTGAAGCTGTGGTAGCATCTAATTTAAGTGGTCGTCCTATCATACTCGCAATATAAAAAAGAGCACGCTTGTCGTGCAAGTGAATTGGTAGGTTTTCAAAGCTTAACCAAATGGGAACAATGGGTGATTCCACATTAGGTTTAAACTCCGTAGTCCATTTAGTCACCCACATAACATTACCGAAAATATCCCAAGTTTGTCGATTCCAACAACGGATATAATCTTCTTCTAAATCAAAACGAATTAATATATGCTTACGTTCAAAAATTCCCAAGTAAAAAGCTCCCTTGAATCCAACAAGATCAAAAACTTTGCGAAGAGAGGCCATTGGCGATCTACCATTGAAGAAGTAACCCACCAATGCCCATTTGTGCTTCGAAGCGAGGGCCTGAATTTCTTCCTCCGGGAAAGTAATGTGAAGCGGGAGAAAACCTTCGAAGATAGTGGAGATTCAGAAGAATTAGCAATCACCGATGCAAAAGATTTTGCACCCCACGCCTGATTCTCCGAAGAAGGGGGAGGCGCCACCCCCTTCCCTGGATCCTTCGCCGTCATCCAAGTTGCGATCGCCGTCAGCTCTCAAGATTTTCCCTCCTCTAGCCTTGAGTTATTGCATTGCTTTACTTTTTGTTGCTTTCGCTGTTAATAAATAAGCCTTTATTCTTTCAAAAATAACATTTCTGTCGATCTCAAATTAGTATGTACTCTGAGATCCTTGAAATAGACATGAGATCATTTCAAAATATGAGACCTAATAATACTGAATCAGATCGATCTAAATGAAAATAGTGAGATTTTTTATATTATTGTTAACAGTTTGTTTTACATGTTGGGTTGTTGAGTTGCTCTTGAGTTAAAGGCTTTGGTTTATTAATTAATGTGGTTGTCACATTCGAATTGAGACCCTTAGAGCCTGTTTACTAACAAATATATTTTTCGATTTTTTTCTTTTTCGTTCTTCATTTTTTTTGTTAATTTTCCAGTTTTTCTGTCTCCAATTTTGTGTTTTCATTTTCTAGTTTTCCATTTTCAAAACTGAAAACATGTTCATCAATTTTTTTCACCTGGTTATGTAACCGGCCTAAAGTACGGTCCCATTCCGAAACTGAAAACAGTACAGCCCATGTAGAGTACCTAGTCCCGGGTATAGGAAAGTCAGGACCAAAACCGGTCGTTCCTGGTCGGCCTCCATCGGCCTCGGTCGATCCCAACGGCTCTTTTGAAACTTTTCACTTAAAAAATGATTTTAAAAACGAGGAATAAACCGCCAGGTCGTCGATCAGACCAGATAGGTATCGCCCGGTCGTTGGTCAGACCGAACAAGGACCACTGAGTCATTGACCGGACCAAACAGGGATCACTAGGTCATTGACCGAACCGGATAGGGCTGCCGGGTCATTGACCTGACTGGGAAGGTACCGTCGGGTCGTTGACCAAGACTACCGGCCGCTGGCCGGACATGACCGAGACTTACCGGTTGTCGATCGGACGGACCAGGACTGCTCGGTTATCGGTCGAACAGGTCAGGTACCACCAGGTCATTGACTAGACTATCGGGTCATTGACTAGCCCAGATAAGGACTGTCGGGTCGTTGACCAGCCTGGATAAGGACTGTCGGGTCATTGATTGGACTGAATCAGAACTGGTACTGAAGCGGGACTGGATTCATCACTAGGCATAAGTATGAAAATTCATTGCAGATACACTGCAGCATCCGCGTATTTCAAATTTGAAAAACTAGTAAAACTCATTTCTCCAATTTATTAAGGAAAACAAATACATCTCTTTTTTTTTTGTTTTGAAAAATGATTTGGTAACCAAATTTTTATGTTTTTCTTTCTCCAGTTTTCCAACTATTTTTTTTGTAAACACGTTTTCTATTTTCGTTTTTCCAGTTTTCTGAAAAACTGAAAAATATCTCTGTTAGTAAATTTACAAACTATGTAATTCCTTTTTAAACATGCTCTTAGTTTTACAAACTATGTCATTCCTTTTGAGTAAAACTATCCATTCTATCGTAGTTAGACATTTTATATTACACATTAGATATAGCTATGAAAAGAAGTACAGAGTATTTAAGATAATAATTAAAAGGGAGAATTCTCGAAATAAAAATAAAAAAAGTTTGAAAATTTCAAAATTGGACTGTCATGTTTTTATTCCAAAAAAAAGATTGATTACTGCTATGTTTAGAAAATAATGTCATGTTTAAAGTTTGGTACTGCCAAAACATGACAATAATTAGTCATATTTTGGATATAAAAACATGATAGTCCTATTTTGAAATATACAAACGATTTTAATCATATTAAGAGTAATTTCCCTAATTAAAAGTGATGAGTTTCAATAAGTGAACTAATATTTTGGTTTTGAGATTCAATTCCGGGTTCATAATATGGGTTTCGATTGAAGTATTTGTCCTACTTTAATCCTAAGATGGTGGGATGGTACACATATTAATTAGTTTGTGTGATTATTTACTACTATCTCTGTCCCACTATATTTGAGACAAAAAGGTGCGCCACAACTTTTAAGAAAAAATGGATTTTTATGGTTATATTGAATTGATAAATTGTGAATAAAGTAAAAATGAATTATAGCCATCCAAATTATATCAACAAAAATGATGTTTGTACACACTCTTATACACACTTTTGTACACACCTATGTCTGTGAAAGCTTTTTTTTGTCTGTGAACATTGATTCACAAACAATGTTTTGCACAAACAAAATATTGTCTGTGAACCGGATTCACAGACAAAAAAAAAGCTTTACAAACATGGTGTGTATAAGGTGTGTACAAGAGTACATATCCAATACCAAATATAATTGGATTGACAAAAAGGTAAAATAGGATGAAAGGAGTACTCCGTATAATATAATGCTATAATGATGGCATTATTAGTTTGAGACACTGTTAACTTTTTAGAATTTATTGGCGGTCATATCAATGGAGCCTAGTGGCAATCACCTGAGAATGATGACGGCAGGGAGAGGATAGCGGCGGTAGGCAGGTTGGTTCGATCAGCCAACAAGTGAGATTAATTTATCTTAAATATCAATATTTTAAAGAAACATAGATAATCTAGTGGAAACTAAAGCCATCTTCAACAGTTTACATCATTTTTTGTACTAAAATGGTGTAAACATGACATCATACAATATTTTATCTCTAACAGTTTACATCATTTTTATCACAAAAAAGGAATATTTCTTTTTTATTATTTTTACTTAATTTTTACCTTTATTATATTTAATTATCTAATTATCATATATTTATACATTAGCCCCTCATTTAATATGTATTTTGGCATTTCACACATTATTTCACAAATACAAATTAAAATACTACTATATATAATCAATATTTCACGCATGGATGGTGATGCGCCATATATGGCGTAAAACAAAAGCCCCTCACCCGTTTTGGTGAAATGGTTAAGCATTTGGTGTAGCTGTTGGAGCAAAAAAATGACAACTACTCTATTTTAGTGAAGGATTTGGTGATGGTCGGAGATAGCCTAATTGAAAAAACGTAATATGTTAGTATTAGTTGCTGGTGTTCATGGATTATCAAGAACTTTATTTGTTCTTAACTTATCCACACTTTCTTTTCATTGTCCCAAAATTTTACTACACATTCCTTAGAACTTTACTCTATTTGTAACTCAATAGTCTCAATAGACTTTTTTACCCTCCGGCAATAATCTTCTCCGCCCCTCCTTTGATTTGGTATGAAAATGGATCTAGTGCTAGTAATTCTCACTTCTTCCTTCAACGGTACAATTTAATTTATCATGGGTTCCTTTTTATCTAGTGGAGCTATCCCTTCCTTTGATGTGGCATGGAAATGGATATTGCATATATGTCATGAAAATGTATTTGGCAAGCATACTTCATGTTCTAATTATCAAGTTTACTATGTCACTGACACTTTTCTCAGACTTCCATTTTTTCCACTTTTAGTTTTTCGACTATTGTGTGAAAGAACTTATGGTACCTGCATCTTTAAAAATTTCCGTATTTAGTCCTTCGACTTTCATAAAATTGTCATTTTTGGTCGGTCAACTATTATGATAGTAACATTTTTAGTCCTCCATTTATTGTGTCAAAATCATAATGGAATGACTAAAAATGTTAATTTGATAATACTCAGAGGACTAAATGTTAGAAGCTTTGAAGTCGAGGACTAAAAGTGTCTCTCGCACAATAGTCGAGGACTAAAAATGGAAAATTGAATGTTGAGTACCAAAAGTAGGCCGTGTCACTGACACAATAGTCGGGGACCGAAATTGGAAAAAACTGATACAAATAATTATATTTGTAGTAATAATAGTAAAATTGTAATAATAAATCAATAATGTTAAATTAGTTAATGTATTAATATTATTATTTTTGATTTGTAGGATTAATTATTGATAGAATTAAGCTACGTACATTGTACACATGTCCAGCATTACCGGTGCTATGTATTATTCCATTAATTAATATATTAGTAGTACAGTTGTGTAGATAAGTTATGACTCCGAAGCTTTCTCACATGTATACCAAAGTAGGTATGTAGCTAGTATAGTGTCATACGATTGTGTAATCCTTATCACATACTCTTGTACAAGTCTATATATATTGAACAAATGACAAAGGCATACTTACGGTGAACTTTACATCTTCTAACTTGGTATCAGGCCATTTGTTTTCAACCCTCTATCATGGCTTCTTCTTCCAAAAGCTCCTTTCACCCCGCTCTTGCGGTCACATCTATAAAAAATTTAATTCCCCTCATTCTCGACAGCGAAAAATCAAGTATTCTTCTTGGGCGGAACTTTTCAAGATCACCGCCCGAGCCTACGATGTTTTGGATCACATCATCCCTGCCGATAAAACCCCCACCACCTCTTCCGCTGCCACGGATGACACCACGGACGATAACACCAGCGCTACTCCCCACCCCGTCGATCCCCTTCTATGGAACCACTTGGACGCCGTCGTGCTCCAATGGATATATGGCACCATCTCCCATGACCTCTTGCATAGTATTCTTGAACCCGACTCTACAGCCATGGAAGCCTAGACCCGCTTGGCCGCCATTTTTCAGGATAATAAAAATGGCCGAGCAGTGCACCTTGAGGATGAATTCTCACACACCCGTTTGGAGAATTTCGCTTCCATTTCTGCATATTGCAAAGAACTACGCACTATCTCAACAAACCTTGAAAACGTTGACGCTCCGGTCGACAACAACCGGCTGATTTTGCACTTGGTCAACGGCCTAACCGAACCCTATGCGACAGTTGCTTCCTTTATTTAGCAAACGGCCCCCCTCTCCCTTTGAGACCGCCAGATCAATGCTACTCCTGGAAAAATCCGGCAAGCCCATTGTCTGCAAAATGCGTCCACCTCTGCATCAGCGCTCGCTGCCACGGTGCCACCGCCTACTTCGCCACCTTCCCATGCCGACCGCCCACGAGGAGGAGGCCACAACAGTTCTGGATGTGGCAAGGGCTGTGGACGCTAGTCTGGCAATCGTCCGCATGACAAAACTACATGGCTGCAACACTCAGTTTCACCATGGGCCATCCCCCCTTGGGCCGCATGGATGCCCTAATACTGGTCCATGCCACCATGTCAGTACCCCACTGCTCCTAGACACATCCCTCCGCCCATGTCACCTTCTACCGATATCTTGGGCTCACGCCCACAAACTTTTAATGCCGGATATGGATACCCTTCCTCTGCAGGTTCCACACCAACCTTTCTGCCAACGGACTTTCACAATGTTATGCACACCATGTCTTTAAACCCCTCGGATGACAATTGGTACATGGATACCGGGGCAACTTCTCACATGACATCGGACGCAGGTACTCTTTCGTCTTTTATTAATATGGATCCTAAAAGAAGTATCATAGTCGGTAATGGATCCTCCATTCCAGTGACGGGTCACGGTCACACCCTTTTACCCTCCCCATTTTCCCCATTTCAACTACGTCATGTTTTGCATGCGCCGAATATTGTTAAAAATTTAACTTCTGTACAAAAATTCAATAACGATAACCAAGTGTCTATTGAATTTGACCCTTTTGGTTTTTCTGTGAAGGATCTTCGTACAAGAACTCCACTCCTGAGGTGTAATAGTCAAGATGACTTGTATCCGGTGTGTCAACCTCCCCGTCGTACCTCTCCATCCCACCATGATTTCGTTGGTCTCTCATCCACCATATGGCATAACCGGCTTGGTCATCCCGACATTCCAATTTTTCATAGTCTTAGCACAAATAAATTCATTGATTGTAATAAAGCATATGATGCTATTTGTCCATCTTGTCAACTAGGAAAACATAATAAATTACCCTTTTCCCGTCCTCTTCTTATACACATGCTCCTTTTGATATTGTACACAGTGACTTGTGGACCTCCCCAATTTTAAGTTCCAATGGTCACCGATATTATTATTTATTTTTAGATGACTTTACCAATTTTTTGTGGGTTTATCCTCTTGCTCGCAAATATGATGCCTTTTCCAAATTTGTTCATTTTAATACATTTGTACAAAATCAATTTGGAACCTTTATTAAGACGTTACAGCGTGATAATGGACGTGAATATAGTAACACTTTAATTATTTCACAATTATTTCTCTAGTCATGGCCACGTATTTACGTAATATTCTCCATTCCAAGTCTCTCTCGTATACCTCTCCAACACTCGCCCTATATCATAAACAACCATCATATTCCCACTTACGTATTTCCGGTTGTCTATGTTACCCCCATATTCCCACCCCGCCTAAGCTCGCTGCCCGTACCCTTGCGTGTGTCTTTATCGGTCTTCCGTCTCAACACAAAGGTTATAAGTGTCTTGACTTAACCACACACCGCATTATTATCTCCCGCCATGTTAATTTTGATGAGTCCAATTTTCTGTTTAAAAATCCCACCTCTCAATCACCACCGTCATACAATTTTCTTGATGAATGACCTCTCCCCTATATCTTGTCTCAACTGGTGCCCAATCCAAATCACGGCCCCACACCTCATATGCCCACCTCATCAGAATTGACCACAACACCCATACAACCTACGGCTCCCACGTCTCCTATATTACATCACCAGTCCTCTCCAGAACAACCCACTGGCAATGCCTCTCTTCTTCCAGCCCCTACACTTCCCTCCACCTCTCACCCCACCCAACATTCCATGACTACCTGAAGTAAGGCTGGAAATTTTCACCCAAAAGTCCTATATAATCTCAACTCTCACCATACCACCTCCCTCATATCCTCCCCCATACCCAAATCCCACATTCATGCCCTCCATGATCCCAATTGGAAATCAGCTATGATTTCTTAATTTACAGCTCTCACCGTTTTGCCAATCACGCTGCCAAATTGGGTTTCACACACGGTAAAGTGGACCACTCTTGATTCATCTACCATCACGCTGGTGCAACAACTTACATTCTCCTCTATGTAGACGACATCATACTTATTGCCTCCACGTCTCAACTCCTAGCCGAGTTAATCTCCAAACTTGGGGCTGAATTCTCACTCAAAGATTTGGAGTCCCTCTCCTACTTCCTCAGCATCTCAGTCTCCCATAACAATGGCAGTCTATTCCTTTCACAACACAAGTATGCAGCGGAAATTCTTACTCGAGTGGGCGTAACGTTGTGTAACTCCTCTAGCACACCAGTTGACACCAAAGCTAAACTAAGTGTCGATTATGGTCCGTCCGTTCCAGACTCTACACTTTACCAAAGTCTTGCCGGAGCTCTCCAATACCTCACCTTTACTCGGCCGGACCTCTCCTACACCGTCCAACAAGTATGTTTATACATGCATGACCCCTGGCTGCCTCATTTAGATGCTATCAAATGCATACTTCGTTACGTAAAAGGAACCATGTCCTACGGCCTTCATATTCGTCCTTCACCCATCACAGACTTGCTAGCTTATAACGACGCGGATTGGGGCGGTTGCCCGGACACCCGTCGGTCCACCTCTGGGTACTGCGTTTTCTTGGATGATAACCTCATTTCCTGGTCATCCAAACAGCAGGCTACTATTTCTCGGTTTTGTTGTATATTGTGACAATGTTAGTTCAATTTACATGTCTCACAATCCCATACAACATCAGCGTACAAAACACCTACACTGAAATGGATATACACTTGATTCATGAAAAAGTGGAACTTGGTCATGTTCGTGTTCTCCACGTCCCTTCGCGTTTTCAATATGCCGATATTTTTACAAATGGCCTTCCTCGGATATTATTTAATGAATTCCGCCCTAGTTTGAACGTCCAATTACCCCCCGCTCAAACTGACGGGGCGTGATAGAATTATGCTACGTACATTGTACACATGCATGCGCCGCATTTCCAGCATTACCGGTGCTATGTATTATTCCATTAATTAATATATTAGTAATAGAGTTGTGTAGATAAGTTATTGTTAGAAAAATTGATATTAAAATGCGAGTTTAACTAGATAAAAATCCCGAGTTTAAACAAATCACCAGACAAACTGCCAAATGCAAGGACAATAATAATAATAATAATAATAATAATAATAATTAGAATAAATTAAAGTGAATAAAGAAAAAGAAAAAGAAAACTTATCGCAGGATCGCCCGTAAAAACGGACTGGCCTTGAAGAAAGATAGCCTTCGTATCCCGATAGCTATTCAGACGGGTCTGGTTAGCTCGCTACCAAGATAATCCTACCACATTTAAGACGTGTAGCTACCTTGACTGAAATCTCCGACCGTTGCCAAAATGCCAAGTAAAAGAGTAGACTTGAACAATTGTGAAAAATATAATATATACTCCGTATATATATATAAATTATACGTACTCCTCTTGGAATGGAAAAGCTAGTGGAGGAAAAGACCCACTCAAATCAAAATTGATTTATGAATGATCTAAAGAGAATAGTAGAGAAATGGAGCTGAGTGTTTTTCTTTTGCTTCTTTGTACGTGAGAGCACAAACAAACAAAAAGGTGTTGCATTTAGTGGGTAGCCTATGTATATATTAACATACTAGAAATTAGATCACGCGTTGCGCGATTGTAATGTGCCCAATACTCTTTTTTTTGTGAGGTTCATATCATCAGTTGTAAATCATTTTCAGCATTTGTCGGTATAAAATATGTTAGATGTTCTATGTTTGGGGAAGTTGCACACTGTTAACAAATGAGCAAATCATGTTAATGTTAGATGGATTTGAAGTAATAGACTGGTTCAACATTTTGGTTCTTCATCAAAACAGGTTAATTTAGACATACTAAGCCTCAATTCTGTAGGGTAGTATTAAAAAAATCTAGTAAGTTTAGGTAATTTGGCATAATCATGCATTGTATTGTCAAACAATTATGGATCAAAATACTAAGTGGTTTTTTCTGATCCTAGACATAGACTAAAGTCAAATCCTAAGAATGCAATTAATGAGCACTTTGTGCCTCGATTTCTGGATTTTATTGTATAGGGACATGAGAATGAATATCTCATTGATCCTCATGCGCTTACACATTGCTATAGAGCGATTAATAGCATTCAAGGCATAAGTGGTGTTTGCTTCAAAATTTAAAGCATTTTCACATTATCCTAAGGGTATCATTTTTTTTCTTTTATAACATTTTAAATGGTGATAAAGCTGGCTGGTCTAAGGAGGTGTGTCCTTTTAAAACATCAAGCGTGCACAGGCAAGAGTGGTTTGATTTACTATCCACAAAACAAGATTGATTTATAAGTATAAAAGGTAATAAAAAGTAATGGAAACTTATTTTTCTTTTATGAGTGAAGTTTTCAAAATAATTATAGTGAAGTGCGTTGATAAAATGCACTACTTTGTATTTGTACCTATGGTATATTATTTGTCCTAAATTTTCACTAAAGAAATTGAGAGGATTCTTCGAGGGACATTTTGTTGAATGTGTGTGAAATTTGATCAATCAAACACAACATCTTTACACTGGACGGTTGCATGATTACATTCAGTTTCTATTTTGACATTTCCTCAAACACCTGACATGCGTTAGTTCTGAGTATTATATCAAGTCTTAATTCCTACACAGGTAACAAAAAATGCATCCATGTGAATTCATACTATGCACTGCAAGTTGCAAGACTTTAATATTCATGTATGCACAAAGAAACTTAAACAGAACAATAGAAACGACACACAAGAAAAAACAATTGATTGTGCATGTCTGCAGCAAATTAACAGGGCTATGATAATGACTAATGATCGGTAAACATAAACTGTTGGAGGGGGGAATAGAAAACCTCACCAGTGTTGACCAGGCCACGTGAAAAAAAAGAGAAACCGAAGGAAATTCCCATTTATACAGACAACGGAGCAAGAGAATAAAACAATCCAAAACTGAAATTTCATTCAATAAGAATTTAGTTGTGATGCCCCAACCTCTCAAACGCACATGGGAAGATAATGTCGTGTTGGCTTCACAAACGAATTCAGGAAAAGCAGTCTATATTACAGAGTAGTTTTTTATGATTAAACGGTCGACTTACATCGTTAACCCATTAATGGGCTGTTAACATTTCACTGATGTACAATACCTGGTGTATGTCAATAAAAGCACAATGTACATCATGACAAAACAAAGTGCAAGAGGGCAGAACACTCGAACCAAGCATTTAATAACAATAGTTGTCCTTTATTATAATAGGTTAAGATATACATCTAGAAACAAGGAGGTGAACGTATGGCATGCAGGGATCGTAATCTTCAACGGAAATCAGACATGAATACATGTATTAAAGAGCATAAGAGGTGAACGGATAAACTGATCCTATTCTTAAGGATCCATTATTAGCTACTTGACTAACCATGATCAATTTGAATTTTAAATTCAATTTCACAATCTAGTCAGTTATCATATATCCACACTGACTGCTTGTTTTTATTATTAAAATAAAAACCGGTTTACTTCTATTAAACCATAGAATCATTGTCCAAACGATTAGAGGGTCTCCAGACTTATACTCCCTCCGGTCCCAAATGAAATTCACACTTTGACTTCACACAAATTAAGGAAATAAATTTGACTTTACTGTAGAGTACACTATTGTGACACTGTTTGACACTGTTTTGCACTGTTTTGCACTGTTTTAATGTAGATAATTTGCCAAATAAGGAAGGGAGAAGAAGTGTGAAGTTTATTTTGGACCTACCCAAAAAGGAAATTGTGAATTTCATTTGGGACCGCAGGGAGTATGATACTTGAACAATGTTCCTTATCACATAATGAATATTATAAATAATCATATGAGACCGTTTATTCTCTAATACGGAACAAATAAATTCACTGTTCTAATACATCACATTACAATCTTTACAACTATGGATTCCAATCACAATATAAATCCAAATATGTAAATAGTTCTTTGATGTACTAATAGCCTCATCTCCATATTTAATACAATCATATCTTAGGACAAAAATTATGACCCTCAA